TTTCCATGTTTTATTTATCTAATAGAAGATGGTTTTCTATGTTCTATATGAAAATGATGCACACTTGAGGTCTAGAAAAAAGCTAGTGGATGCACGAACTGCAGTTACACCACTTGACTGCGTCTCATGGCCTACTTTGTTTGTACAAAGTACAAAGTACGCACGGCTAAAATAATGGAATCTATTTGTTAAATAATTCATGGACAGATTCCATGCCGTTTATATGACAGCAATTTTCTAAACTCTAATAAAAACATGGCTTTTTAGCCAATCAGAGCATGTTCAGGATCTAGTCTATATTATTGTATAAAGTCAGATATTAAATAACAAAATGAATAACATTAATAGAGAGTATTTATAAGCTTTAAGCAGTAGCTCAGTCTGGACTTAGAGATTGTGAGCACAGGAGCTAAAAGGGAATAATTAAAAATGACATCCCCTCTTGTTTTCTTTTTCCGCTTAATTTCCCTGTTATATCTATAAACACCCACTGCCTTTCACTCATTTTCTTCACAATCTGAGAGGTTACAAAGCATACAGTCGCTGGGCTGTTAAAAATAATCAATATACATATACATCACCAGTGGCAAGTTATACGTACATGTAAATCTAGCATATTATGCACACATTGCATACCTATGAGGCTAGGTATTATTTCGATATTCGATCATTCCGTGTTTGTTGTTGATTTATGAACCGAATTTACATTTTTGCTTCCTGTCATTTCGACGGTTTAAGTGCTGCAAATTAAAACAACAATTATTCTCTTGATCTGTTATAATTATTCACCCTACGCTGAGACACGAGAGACCATCAAGTTATCATAATTTGTATTCATTTGATGAAGTACTGGTACGATTTGATCCGAATTTCAAACTTCCGCCTTTTCAAAACAGACACGAGATCGCATCACCAAAATCGAAGTTACCAGATCGCTTCGTTTGATTATATTCTTCAGTTATGTTATGATCATGAAATAAGTCTCCTAATATATTGTAAACTGCTGGTAAAGATCGAGAACAAACAACACAAGGTTTACTTACCGCAACGTTCAGTTCAGTTCGCTTTTACAAAGTGAAAGAACGAAAATTTCGCCAGGGGCGTTCTAGTTTGCGTGCAGACGTCGAAGCAAAGGAAATTGGAGAACTCTGCACTCAGGCAAGGGGGTTTCCCGACATTCCGAGAAAACAGACTAATTATATCATAAATTACGTCATGCGATTATTTTGGTGCGCGAGTAAAACAATTGATTTCGAATTTTGCAAGATTCGACGTGGACTCCGTAGATGGTCCGGTTCATTAATACCCAAGTTGGGGAGGGGGGGTTATTTAATTTAGGGAAACGCCGGTATGTGGATAAACGTCCATAAACCGTACTTTGGTCAATGAAGTATTATATTCGTGATTAATTACGATTCTTTTTGAGTACAAGTACCTGTAATATTTCTCCCAAAGCTCGCAAGTACTGTACGTGAATTCATGCCTGGATTGATACGGTAAAAATGCACCGGTGATACAGTCTGTCGTTCAGTGTTTCGGTTTTGAAGGAAAAGGGAGGAGGGGGACTTAATTAAAAGAGAGGGAGGTGGCTTAATAAATTTCTTGCTACAAAAAGTGGGGTATTTCAGATTTAGCAATGACGACGGGGACGTCACTTGAGGACGCGAGAGCGCGCGGAATAGTCTGGAACCAACTTTATTTCGACTTCCGGTGCTCCCGTTGCCATCCTGTGGCAAAGTTCACGACGCCATTTTGGTGGTTTTCACGTTGCGATCAGAACGTCACATATTTGCTGTCATTTTGCTGACATTTGCGGCATTTTTCGCTTCGCACGCCGTCGTCGAGAAGTCCCCGTCGTCATTGCTAAATCTGCCTATTATTTGAGGGGGGGGGGGGGGGGGGGGGGGAATAATTTTTTTTGTGTGAAAGTTCTGTTATCAATGTTGTTATAACTGTGACCGTGCATCGTTCTTATTGCTGGTTCAGTGATAAACGAGAAACGAGTCGCGTTTCGAGAGAAAAGAGACGCGCCTCGAGTGAACGAAACGCGCCTCGAGAGAAACGAGACGAGAAGTGGTAATAACTTAAAATGGGTGGTACTTTTAGTGCGGATTTTAATAGTATTACAGTATCAAAGTTAGGGTTGAGGGGTGCTTATTGAAAAAAAGACAGTGACACTAGATCAGGTCAGTACCCCACTAACGGTAATATTATTACCAGTTACTAGTTTTCTCTTTCAGGCTCCATTGAGTCAGACAATGGTAGAAGATGGAAGAGCTCGCTATAGTCCTACTCTTATAGAGCGATTTTCAGTTGAGTGTCGAAAGTAATCACTGAATTGCTTTGGTTTAGCTTTACTACGCTCTCTGATTGGTTCAAAAAAACTCGCGCCACCTACTCAACCAATCAGACGCAAAACCAACGCCGATCGCTACTTTGTCACACGCGTTTTCCCGGACGTGGCGCTGGTTACGTGTATTTGCTTCGAGTTCTCATTGGTTCGTTTTATCGTTTTCGTTGGTTGTGATTGGCCATTGTAATTGCTTTGGTCTTGGGTTTACGACACTCAATCAAAAACCGCTCCATTATTGTCTTGTATTTAACAAATAAAGAAGCCAAAACCATGTATTATACTGTCATAAAACACGACGGGAATTTGAGAACACGAGAGAAATTTAGAAAACACGAGCCGCAGGCGAGTGTTTTCTATATTTCTCAAGTGTTCTCAAATTCCCGGAGTGTTTTATGACAGTATAATACATGGTTTTGGCTTCTTTATGTGCTTTAAAATATAGATTTACGCGCGCGAAACGATAAAACACGCTTTTCTATGATTTATACTCTGATAAAACATGGTTTTTAACCAATCAGAGCGTGCGAAATTTTCAGTCTATATTTTAATGCAATATATAGTCAACATGTAACGCACGAAACAATAAATGAACAGAGTATACCATGTTTTATTAACCTAATAGAAGATGTTTTTTTATGTTCTACAGTATATACCAAATATAGAACGTTTTCCGAATTTCCATAGATGTATGGTAACACGAGTGAAGTCGTGCGAGAAAGAGAAATGCTGTAGTGGAAACACAAGCCGCAGCCGAGTGTTTCCACAACAATTTCGAGTTCTCCCAAATGGCTTTCACGAGTGTTACCATAACTCTATGAAAACACAGGGTAAACGTTTTCTATTGTTTTTTTTATGAAATAATAGCACGAAGCAATTTTGTTTATGTAGAGTTATGGTAAATGGTTTTGAGCCAATCAGAGCGCGGCTAGTATCTTGTTTATTTTATAAAAGAAAACGATGCACGCTCGTGGTCAAGAAAGGCAGCTAGTGGATCCATAAGCTGCAGTAACGCCACTCGACTTGTGTCTCGTGGCGTAATTTTTCATCTGTACAGCTATTAGAGTACAAATGCTCGGCCAAAATAATGGAATCTATTTGATAAATAATTCACGGCCAGATTCCATCCCGTTTATATGGCAGAAAATTTCTAAACTGTAATAAAAACATGGCTGTTTAGCCAATCAGAGCATGCGCATAATCTAATCTAGTATATTATTTTAATAAAGTGACACTATTAAATAACGAAATGAATAGCATTAATATAGAATATTTTAAAGCTTTAAGCAGTTGCCCAGTCTAGACTTTGAGAACAATTCATCATACATAAGGGGAAAAGACGTGACTAGAATGGATAGACCAAAATCAGATCAGACGTTACCCTAACCCACAAAAGAAAGCTAACAATTCTCGGGGCTATAGTAGGCTAACAGGGGCGCTATTCTCGAGGATAATCAGCGCTATTCTCGGGGCTAATCAGTGCTATTATAGGCCAACTGGGATGCTAAAGTAGACTGATCTTATTTTGGTCTATCCATTTAAGTCATAGCCCTATACATGCACAGTGACCAAAGTAGGTTACGCTTTCGAGTTCGTCACTGCTACGATTACACTACAGATACCACAAAACCATATGTCAAATAAAAACTTACAGAACTAGCTATTTGAATATACGAATAGTTTTTAAAGAAAATGAATTGTTGAGTTTTCCGCGAAGTTTAAATCACCTTTGGAAAGTTTCAACTCGAAGCGATTTTTGAATTTCGGAAATTTGATTTTTTTCCTGGAACTCCGGTTCCCCAGGGCTAAAAAAACATGTTTTGCTTTTGCTTTATTCCATTCGTTCAAAAGTTACGGAACGTTTTCAAAATAGTGAGAGAAAAAATCCGTACGGAGTGACCGCATGGAAATGGCTCTCAACGAGATAATATTTAGTTTCGTTGACTGATCACATTGATCTAGCGACTCTCCAAATTTGTTTGAATTTGAACAAATCGCCTTTGAGTTGTAACTCTTTCAAAAGTGTCCCCTTCAAGCGAAAAATAAATTTTTAACAAACAGCGCTTATGCTGGAAACGAATATTCACTACTACTTTCTATCTGAGGCTATATTGACAACAATTTGTTGTGCTGGGAAAATAACACCAATTAAAAGCACCCATTCCTCAATAGACTAGATTTAAAACTTCTTGATAATCGGAAAGGAAAATTCTCGCCACCGAATAAAATTTAAAGGAAAATATTACAACTATGATATGATCGAAAAACTCAAAAAAATTGAGGAAACATGACGTATTTCCGGCTGCTGTTTCATGCCGTCGGAGAATCCGTCTTCATTCCCAGGCTACAAGTGATTAGTTTAGAGTAACTTTTGGTCTTTTTTTAACTGAAATAACTACTTAAATACACGAGAGACCAAGACCATCGCAGGTATATACCCAACTTAAGCAGTTGCCAAAAGAAACACTGAAGAAAGCCTGAAAAAAGTTCAGGATATTTTTTATTCAGGCTTTCTTTCAGGAGGGAGGGCCGGGCGTCTTTCTTTTCACGACTGCTTCAGTTGCGTACATAACTGCGATGGTCTTTCATGTATTAAATCAGTTTCACCCGCAGTTCAAATATATGAAAATTAAGTGACCAGCTCCCAGTTGACTTGGTAGCTCCGTTGGTAGAGCACTGCACCGGTATCGCAGAGGTCACGGGTTCGAATCCCGTGCAAGCTTGAACTATTTTCAGGCGTTCTTTTCGCACATAACTGCGATGGTTATTAAATATTTCACCCCGCAAATCAAATATATCATATTTCATATATTCACTTCATAAAAAAACTACTGCCAACGTTTTGTAAATGTTGAACTATTTTTAAAAGGACAGTAACATCTCTCCTCGCACCACTGCAAGTTTTTTAAACGGCTTCAAAAGCTTTCCTTTCAATCGATTTAATCTGATCCTAACTTGACATGTTAGTTTTAGACCAGAAAATTGAGGTAAAAGTTCAGCCGTATCTTTATCAAATATTAGAACGATTTCGCATAAGCCGATTTTTATATGCTAATGAGTACCATTGCATGCTAATGTGAGGAAACAATAGAAAATTACGTGCGCTGAAATAATAAAACTATTGTGTAAAATTCGAATTTGTGTAGATACCAGCGTGTAATATACGTTTGGTGCGTGTAGTACGTTCACAATTTCGAATTTTACACAATAGTTTATTTCAGCGCACGTAATTTTCTATTGTTCCTCTACATTAGCATGTAATGGTACTCATTAGCATATCAAAATCGGCTTATGCGAAATCGTTCTAGTATAAAGACGCTCATTAGACATTAATTTATTTTTAAATTTGTATTTTGTTTATGAATATTTATTGCACCTTAAATAATAATAAGATATACAAGAATATAAACAGTCTTTTCATGGTGTTGCAATAATTAGTAAAATGTTCAATAAAGAAAAGTCCTCATAATCGTTCGAAATAATAGAGTGACATTTCAGGAAAAATATCTTCAACGAACGGCAAATAAACCATGGATTTTAGTTTTAGTCAGGAACTTGTTACTCTTACTAATGTAGGAAGATATTTATTTTTACTTATTAAAATTTACCTACTGTAGTAGGAAAAAATGGTCATTGACAATGATTAGTGGTTGAACTTACAGTAAATTACTGTCAATTGATAAAATTGATTTATTTATAATTAAAAAAAACGTATTTCATAATTAATTAATTTATAATTTAATAATTATTATAGGATACACCATGGCACCTTCATAAAGCAGCAGAGAACAATGTTAATCATCATCTCACCAAACTAGAGAAAGAAGGACGAGTCCGTAAGTTGACCTTGATTTATTGTTTCAATTGCAGTGGATTTAAAATATCATGTGAACTCTGAAGTTCAAAACCCAACTAACGATTGTACTTTACACTGCCGTCAATCATAATTGGGAATTTAAGAAAACCACAACGGCAACGGCAACGAGAATGTCGCTAAACCAAATGGTTTAATGAGAAGTACAATTGATCTGCACGTGCGTTTTTATCTTGGTACATTTCTTAACCATCCTCTGTAAAACAACAACATGAAATGGCTTGAATTCTGCGTTTTCTAAAGAACGAGAAATGCAACGGCGAATTTGTCAAGTTTGTATTAATTTAGCACTTTTGCTCCGACGAAGGGCTAACGCTCGAAACGTCAGCTTTTAGAAATTCGCTACGGCGGTATATTTACCTTTATCAACTCTGAGTTGATAATCAACACAGTGTTTCACTTGCCCGCCGACGCAGCACCACAGTTCCATTAGAAACTAATCACTTTGTCCCTTTGCATATTCAGCTGAGGATAGCTCTGACACCAATAGACAAACTGAATGGGTCTGGATTATCCAGATGTACTCAAATTAAAATATAAACTAGTTTTTTAATCAACGTTGTCCTCAGCTTAATCGTTGTGGGATTTTAAACTCCCTAATGATGACGACAACTATTGGACTATTAAAAAAAGGGAAAAGCCAAAATGGATCGCAATCTACAAATAATATTACAACCCTTGGGCATGACATTTTGAACCCGTTGAAGTGAACCCCTATTTCCTGAGACGTAGCTAACATGATTGACGGCCGCAAAAATGCAATTGATACAGCATAGTTCGCATGCTTCTGATCATTCTCAGCTCAAAATTAAACTAAACTTTGCATTCTGAGCACTAAGTAAGTTACCACCGTCTCGCGAGACGCGTCTCGTTTGTCGTGAGAGGACGTCAAAAAACTATAAATACATGTACAGACTCACTCATAAAACAAAAAGGCTCGTTTAGAAATACAGCATTCAACATGCAATGCACAATGCACAATGCACTTGAGCTTGAATTAAGTAAATATTGTATCGTATACACAAACTATGTACTTATAATACATTTGTCAGGTCATTGCTTGCTTTACATCTGGATCAAGTCCTTTATTTGATCAATCGCATGTCTTTCTTCGTAAAACACTAGCAACAAAAGAAACAGATAAACCACAATTAAATGAAAATGGTGTTACGATTGTATAAATATTGTGGTGCGTTCGTGTCTTCTATACTGAGCCGAAAGACAGTAAATTATATATTAGGCGCCAGTTCTTTTCCGTCTGGTGGGGTGGCGGTGGGGGGAGGGGGGGACTCCCATGTGAAGGGCTTGTCGAAAAATTTGAATTAAACCCCTGAAGCAGAACAATCTGGGCGTGGCTCAAGCTTTATTTGACCCCTAAAAGATACCAGATTTCATGCCTCATCAGTGTAGACCACCAACACAGTATGATAGTGTTTTGTATTTCTTCGCGTGCAACCCTAAACGATACCTTTATGGCTAAAAGTATTGGCGTCCTGTCCTGAACACCATAAGTGATACCAAAATCCATAATTTACACCCCTAAAAGAGACGAGCATACCTGCCCCCCCCCCCCCCCGCGTCTGCCACCTAAATTAAATGAACTAAATTAATCTTACCTTTATTTTGGCAAATTCAAATGTCACGTTATCTCCAATCAGCATGAAAGGTGCCCAGTCGCAAACCTTAGGATAGCCGTTATTTCTCATCCACTTCATGGCCTCGTGAAGGGATTCACTAGCACTTTCTCCAAGAACAAGGTGCTCGTAGAAACGACTTATCAACTGCTCTGTTGCTTTGTCTTCCAGGGCCCATAGTGCCACCAACACTGAGCGTGCACCGGATCCTAAAAACGCTCGAGCGATTCCAACAACTCCTTCTGCTTTGATCTGTCCTTGTCCACTGTGACAACAGCTAAGTACTACCAGTTTGGCCCGCAGTTGAACTTGTGAAATGTCGGACATTGTCAATAGGTAGTCTTCTTCTTGTGGAATAGGATGAGTGGTCCGTAAAGGGGATAGAGCAATTTCTCCTCTTTCGGCGTTGCCATGAGCAGCAATATGTATCAGACTTACTGAATGCAGCCTTTGAAGTACCGCCTGCTTGGTTGCCTCCTCTCCTAGCAAAGGCTGAACACCAAGCAGTCCTCCAATCATCTCTGCTTCTTTTCTTGCACAAGGCAATGGTTTGAAGTTTTCAAGACATCCCTTGTAAAACACCTGACCAACCTTAGGATCCCCCACTATCAGTGCACCAGTCTGACTGTGATAGTCTGGGGGACTGTTCTGAATGAGCTTCAGAGTCGTCAAAGAAGGAACAATGCGGATTCTGAAAGTCTCTGATAAACACTTCCCACTTTCGTCAATTAATGCTGCAAATGGAACTTGGTGCAAGGAGAGATCAGGAACAATGATGATTTCGGGCTCCTCAAGTAAGTCAACCACAGGAGCGATGATCATTCTGTAAACTGACGAATGAAGAATCGGTTCGGAAAGTTGGCTTCCCTCTTCGTCAGGCTCGAAAAGTCGCAAATCTGATGAGCTCCCTTCCTGGGATGACGTCACTTTGGGTTGAATGACATTTAAAGATCGATCTTCGCAATCATTCTCGGGTAAAATAGCAAAGCCGCGGAAGTTTTTACCGAAAAATTCATCCAAATCGGAAACTGATCCAACGTGAGGAA